CGAGAATAAGGTTTGTCATTGTCATTGTTATTGCCGGTGACACGGGGATCAGATGGGTGGTCACTGGGGTGTGTCCTTGAGCAAGACACGACAACCCCAGCTCTAAATACAGGGCGCTGCACAGTGGCGACCGACAGTGGCATTGTTGTAAACTGTTCTGTATTTGTGTAATATTGTGTATTTATGTTTGTATTTATTATGCTTGTACTTCTGTATATACGTATTTATAAATATGTATTTATATATGTATATATATGTTTGCCATTGTAAACCAAAGTGCTCTTCTGTGTAATTTATTTTTTAAATTTTATTTTTATTCGTATGCTCTGATCGTCAGTAAAAAGAAACTCGCTGATTGTGTTTTCTTCAGGTTTAGCTCCTGCAGTCATTAATAGCAGAGGGGACAGGACACATGCTTTTCTCGCTCACGATCATACTTGGAACAATAATAATATTGGGGGTTTTTTCATGAGGTTCCCTTACTGCTGGTTTGCTGCTTTCATTTGACGCCATGATGTTGTCCAGTAGCTGCCCTCTGATTCCTTTGTCTTTCAGCACTATCTTTATTTTTTTTTTCGGTCTGCTCTTTCGAAGACTTTCTCAAACACATTGTTTAGTTCTTGGTCGTATTCTGTTGCCTTTGCTCTGAATTGTCTAAGTGCGACGATTGCGTCTGTGCACCTTTTCGCTTTTAAAGTCCAAAATGTACTCTGCTCGTTCTCACTTTTCTCTACACCCCTCCCCCTCCCCCCAAAAAAAATTATTTAAAAAATTAATAAATTACATTTTAAACATTTAAAAAAATCGTCATTCGTTATCTCCCTGACCCTTAATCCTCATGTCCCTCCCTCCCATCTCCTCTTCTCCATTTGTTCTCACTCCTTTTTCCCCACCCCGCCCCCATTCTCTCTCCTCATCCCCTTACCCCTTTATACCCCCCTCTCTCACGCCACCTCTTCTCCACCTCTGTTCTCACTCTTTTCTTTCCACCCTCTCTACTCACCCAACCCCCCTTATACCCCCATCCCTCCTCACCCCCTCCCATCCTCTCTCCTCAATCCCTCTTCCCTTATACCACCCCTCCCTCACGCCTCCTCTTCTCCCTCTCTGTTCCCCCTCCTTTCTTCCCACCCTCTCTACT